AATAAGTCTGAATAATGTCTGGAAAAGTCTGGAAAAGTCTGGAAAAGTCTGGAAATATCTGGGGCTAACACGCTTTTGATACATCGAACTAAAAAGTGAAAAATAATTTTTAATATAAACAGAAAATATTAATGAACAAAAAATATTAAAATTATTGTCAAAAAAGCGTGGGGTGCTCAATGTATGAGAAATGTGGAACCAAACACCCCAGCGTGTATTTTAGTTTTTTTAAACTATATTTATTTGCGTTCATCTTTCTCAAGTCTTTTGGAGGGGGGGGACGCCACTGTCTATGTTAGTATGTGTGTAAAGCCTCATTTACACGGTGCAAGTAGCTTGAGCAAGTACTAACGCTAGTAACTAAATTATCTTTGTTTTCGTGCAAGTGGGTGTTTACATGCATTTTACTGATTTTAAGTCGAATTTAGTGATTAGTGCACATTGAGGTGAAATGGCAGCAAGTACAGTTGTTCGAAAAGAAATTTAAAAATGCATTTTGAGTGTTTATGGAGAATTATCACACATTTTATTGAAAGAAATTGAAAATGGAAAACGTTGTTGGGTTCGACCATGGATATCTCGTAGAGAAACACATGGTGCATCTTCCACATTATTGGTTGAACTGGCTAAGGAAGATCCAAAAGAATATCGAAATTGTATGCGGATGACAAAAGAACAATTCAATAAGTTAACTTTTCGAAATAAAACCCATGATTAGCACACAAGATACTGTAATGAGACCTGCTATTCCAGTAAAAATTACATTGGAAATTACACTATCATATCTGGCAACAGGAAGCAGTTACAGACGACATTGCAAAGGCAACTAATAGGTGCAAGGTGCAACACAATACTCAAAATATTCAAATTCAAACCCCACTAATGTACTTCACTAATCACTAAATACAAATCCTGTCTACACACGTCCAGCCCGCTAAAGTCAGTAAAATAAACGAGAGGGGGAAGCCACTTGCTCAAGTAAATAGAACCAGCTTCTATTCACTTGACTAATTACTTGACTAAAGAGTTTACTTGCTCAAGTACTAAATTAAGGTGTCTACACGATTCAAGTTACTAAATTTTAGTTACTGGCGTTAGTACTTGCTCAAGCTACTTGCACCGTGTAAATGAGGCTTAATGCATGCAGTTCGATGAAGGTTTCACTTCTACCGGGTGTGAATTGCACAGGATTTTTTTTTTGTCTGGCATTTTCAGGATGTACATAAGCGCAACTAACTCCAAATACAAGGGGTGCTGACGAAATGAGACGCGTAAAAAAAAATTAGTTTTACGAGGGTTTTGTACTTACGTCATTTGCCTTTTTGAAAAATAGCTTTTTAAATGTCTGAAATTTCAACCAAACATATCGGGTCTTCAAAAAAAAAGCCAATCAAAGATTGCTATGGTTTTTTAAACGTACGTCTTAGCAATATTTTTCTTTAATTTTGACAATGTCAGTCAATGAAATTTAATGTCAAAATGTCATGTCAAAAATCCTGACCAATATACAAACAATAATGCGACGTACGTTTTCGTAACCAAAGCAATCTTTGATTGGTTTTTTTTTTTGAAGACCCGATATGTATAGTTCGTTGCACGACACGAGGGTTTTTACTTACGTCATCGATGACGTCATAACAACTTAAAGAAAAGATTAAGTCATAGATTATTTCAAAGAGCACCTTCGGAATTATTGTTTTGTAATAAATTTTTTCTACGAGCGTGCGGAAAAGTGTACTTTTCCGCACGCATTTTAGGTCATTTAAGTATCACTTTTCCGCCTAGTGCTTTTCCGTTTTTTTCCGCACCGAGTGCGGAAAAATGATCACTTTTCCGCACTCCGTGCCGAAAAGTAGAATACCTGAAATTTTTAGGTATACAGGTACAGGGTGGTCCAAATTCGATCCTCATCATTGGGATCTCGGAAACCGTGAGAGATACAGGGTCACTTTTTCTCCCCTACAAGATGCTATCATGAAATTTAAAATATGATGTTTCGTCTTTGGACCACCATCATCAACTTTACTTTTCTAAATACGGACCCTCGTTTTTATTTCAGATTTCAAGAGCTTCTGATATCCCAAAACCTATGACGAATCGCATTTATTCGAAAAATTTATATTATTGGCACTTTCCATAAAAACTAAATGTGTTAGAGAGAGACATAGAAAAGAATTTTGGTAGGAAATTACTAAGAAGTAAAAAAAAATATTTTTTTCTACTACCGTGCGTAAAGTACTCACTTTACGCGCTATTCAGAAGACGTAAAATTTCACTTCACGCACTAGTGCGTAAAGCAATGTCAATGACAGATGTCGACACTGTCAATTTGGCATTTTTCTGGTAAATCACTTCACGCACTAGTTCGTAAAATGAAAATTCTTTACGCACTAGCGCGTGAAGTATTTGACTAAATTTATTTTCGTACACATATTTGATTGGTAGTAGAAAAAATTTTGTATGCAATACTTGCGTAAAGCACCTTTTTTCACTCATGTGATTGTCGCACTCGCCTTCGGCTCGTGCGTCAAAATTCACATTCGTGAAAAAAGGTTCACTTTACACACTTGTTGCATAAATAACTATTTTCGGATAAATGCGATACGTCATAGGTTTTGGAACATCAGAAGCTCTCAAAATCAGAAATAAAAAATCCAGGGTTGTATTTAAAAAAAATAAGTTGATGATGGTGGCCAAAAGACGAAATGTCAGATTTTAAATTTGATGGTAGCATCTTGTAGGGGAGAAAAAGTGACTATGATGAAGTGATATTTTTTTCGAAATATCATTTCAAATAAAGTCAGGAAAAAATAAAAACAATTTTGCAAAATTTCGAAATTTTTCTGGATATCTCCGGAAGTATTAGGAATATCCTGAATATCAAAGCGGCATTTTGTTGAGCATCAAAATGCGCAACTTTGCCATTTAACCGACCCTGTATCTCTTACGGTTTCCAAAATCCCAATGATGAGGTTCGAATTTGGGCCACCCTGTACTTACAGATTAACAGGATATACTACCAGGTACAGGTACAAAAAAGTGAAAAAAAATATCTTAAATTGATAAATATGTAGATGAAAATATTACCTTTCATCTCGTAGAAAAAATAGTGTTCCTAACTCGTGCGGAAAGTATCTTTTCCGCACTTGATTGCTTGCCGAATTTCGCTGCGCGTCGGTCGATAAACTGCAATCGCGTGCGGAAAAGTGGTACTTTCCGCACTAGTTAGGAAATATACTATTTTAACTTAGAATAGAGTTTATTCAGTTATCCGAAAATATACATGTATAAATACATTTCTCCTGGAGTGATTTTTCACTGGAAAATTTTGAAATTTTCTTCTAATGAGCTCCTCACTTTCCTCTTTCTCCTGTAAAAATTTCAAAATTTTCCCGTCGCCAGTTTTCCAGAAAAAAATTAAAATGTAAGAAGGTGAATTTTCTTCAATATTGCCTTAATAAGTCAATTTTCTTTGAGTTTTTCCTGGAATGATTTTTTACTGGAAAATTTCGAAATTTCCCTGTAATAAGCTCCTCACTTTTCTCTTTTTCCTGGAAAATTTTCAAAATTTTCCCTTTGCCAGTTTTCAAGAAAAAAATTAAAATGTAAGAGGGTAAATTTTCCTTAACTTTGCTTAAATAAGTCAATTTTCCAGAATTTTTCCTCGAGTGACTTTTCATTAGAAAATTTTAAAAATTTACTTTAATGAACTCGCTTTCCTCTTTTTTCTGGAAAATTTTCACAATTTTCCTTTTGCCAGTTTTCTCGAAAAAAAACTAAAAAGAAAGAAAATGAATTTTACTTAAAAAAGTCAATTTTCCAGTATTTTTCCTGAAATGATTTTTCACTGGAAAATTTTGAGATTTTCCTATAATAAGCTCCTCATTTTCGTCTTTCTCCTGCAAAAATATCACAATTTCCACTCTGCCAATTTTCCAGAAAATAGTTGTAATATAAAAGAATGAATTTCGCTTAAAAAAGTCAGTTTTCCTAAATTTGTCCTGGAGTGTTTTTTCACTGGAAAATTTTGAAATTTTGTTATAATGAGATCCTCACTTTCCTCTTTTTTCTTAAAAAATTTCACAATTTTCCTTTTGCCAGTTTTCTAGGAAATAAATGTAATTTAAGAAAATGAATTCTGCTTAAAAAAGTCAATTTTCCAGAATTTTTCCTGGGATGATTTTCCATTGGAAAAATTTGAAATTTTCCTATAATAAGCTCCTCACTTTCGTCTTTCACATGAAAAAATTGCACAATTTTTACTTAGTCAGTTTTCCAGAAAAAAATTGAAAAACTTTGATATTTCTGTGAGAAACTCGAGTTCGAACTGCTATTATCGTCTAGCAATTTTTCAGCGATATTTTCAAGACAAAACTTTCCATTTTTTTCCCGCATATCGTGTTTTTTCACATCAGCGCGGTCACCGTTTTAAAGTTATTATTATACATATTTATATGGACATATGGCAACGCCGAGTAGCCATCAACTGGAACCACGTTGATTACGGCGAGCCTACCACTCCGATGGAGCCCGGCTCGAAAAGTCTGGCTCCATTTGGGGGTCAAAAAATATACATGGAATAGGTTTTCTATAAGTGTTAACTATAATATTCTTTGATAGTGCATATAAAAATATCATATTTTTGTCGATTTGTCAAAAACGAATGGACCAAAATATAAAGTGTGTTATATCATTGTAATCGAAATAAGATATTCTATCAAACGCATATATAATATACAGGGTGTTCCATTTAAAAAAATATAATGTAGGCTCATATGTCATAAAATTGATAGTGTTTTGCTTTATGGGTACCTTGAAAAAAAACTTGGCTACCAACCCTACATTTTGTTTTTTTGTTTACCTTGATACCTTCACCTTCAGAAACAAAAAAGTTAGGTACAGCGAATTAAAATGTTATCAAGATAAATTGAATGCACTGTACATATTTAATAAATTCTTAGTCAAAAAAAAAAACAGCCAAAAAAAAAAAATTTATAGTTTTCTAATGTTTTATTTCTACAACTCTGTTAAGTACATTCAACAAAATTATATACTCTGAGCAAATATTGATTCACCAATGGATATTTTTTACTTAAATCTAGTGGTGTTTTTTTTTCCATATTCTTCAGATTGATTTCGGCATTTTGAGAAACCAAATATTTGACAATTTGAAGATGGTTATGGATAACAGCGATATGTAAAGGACTGTTCTCATCACTATCCAAATGGTCGACATTGGCACCTTTTTGCAACAATAATTTGACGATGTCTAGATGCCCATTTTTCACTGATTGATGGAGCAGAGTCTTGTCTTCATTTAAATCAAAATTTCTTTGTAAGAGCAATTTTAGATATTGTATTTTGCCTGACTTTATAGCTCTATGTAAAAATTCATACCATTCAGTAGAATTCAGCTTGTACAATAAAGCATTCATCACGTCATTATCATTGCCTTTTTTGAGTGCCAATTCAAATGGGTCTCTCCCCTTTTTGTCTTCGCAATGTAGGCTAGCACCACAGGCAAGTAAAAAGTAAATAATATTGATGTGGCCTTCTCTAATTGCTTTGTGAATGAGAAATTCGTTTGTCACGTACAAGGGCTCGTTCACGTTGAAACTATTTTCGGGTTTTCCCAATTGCTCCATAAAACCGAAAGTTATGCTTTGATATAAGGTCCAGTATTGGTCCACGTGCACTTTTCTATTAAACTCATCAATCAGCAGGAACTTTCCACAGTCGAGTTTTTTTAGGTTGTTGAACATATTTTTGGGTGAAACAATAATTAGTTTTTTAGATTCTCCTTTCAGTTTTGGAATTATTGCTTTTTCCATGTTGGACAAATCCACTTGTTCAGCTTGTATAATATGGCAGACAAGTAAATTTTTGCAGCTTTCTGTTGTGGATGTTTCACTTAATTTTTGCCCCAACAAATCTATTTGACAGTCAGCACCCAAATATTTCGCAATACTGTTGTTGTTAAACTCATTTAGATTCACGTCGTTCAGTTTACTTAGGACTTTAACTACTACATGTATTACTGCACCTTCTACAATCAAGAAATACTTCTTGTCCAACAAAAATTGGTACAAATGTCTTTCCATATCACTTTCGAAATCGGCTTCTTTTTGAGTTAACAAACTGAGACTGTTACCTTCCATTTTGAGATGGTATTCCACTTTTTTTCATACACAGCAACAATAATTTCAAACACTAATTTGACTGGTTGATCACCCAAGTACCTAGGACTGAAATCAGAACGAAATGAAAGATACTCAACTCAACCAGTGTTGCCAGATGACCAGAACAAAATTATGGTACAATGCTGTAGAAATTATCGTTTTTTTGCATGATTTTATCGTACAAAACTGACTTTTCCAGTGTCACGTCGTCGGAGGCTGGTGGCCTCCTTAAATTGAAGGGGTTAAGTTGTATTTGCAAAATAATTTTATTGAAAAAACATTTAGAAAAAATATAAAACAAAAAGATTACTCATTTCTGTTATCCCCTACCCCTTGTAATAATTCAGGCACTGGGAAAAAGAACTGATATGGTCAGCGATTTCAGTGTATTTTTTTCCAAAATTTATCAACATTCAGAAATTATCGTACATTTATCCATTATGGATCGTACATCGTACCTTCTTGTAATTATCGTACAAATACAATAGTTATCGTACGTCTGGCAACACTGAACTCAACTGCCTCAACCAACAAACAATAGAGAGATTTTGAGCCACCTATTTGATCAACGTTATACGTTATCGGTTATTTTGCTCATGCGCAATAGTAAAAAAATAACCGGTCCGCTTAATAAGCGGTAACGTACTACGTCAAACAAAAAAGTTGTCAACGTTCAACGTTCGTTCAACTCAAATCTCAAATACTGACGTCTGACATCTGACATCAATGTAATGACGTTTAAATCTGTCAGTTCATATCAAGGATAATTTACACTACTGAGAATTGCTTATCGACCTCGTTTTTAATTATCGCCGATTAATGTGTCACCATTTCCGACGTCATTAACTAGTCGTCAGCTGTTTGCGCCAGTGGTTGTAGTTTAGAATTTAAATGTATGATAAAAAATACGCTTTTTACCGGTAGTTTTGATGACGTCATCCATATGACGCGGTTGTACCGGGATTTAAGTGAATCCCGGTGTTTTGATTCTGTTTTTATGGTTATTTTTCAGCTGATTGGTATTTTAGGTTAGTTTAATGCAATGGTTCAATGATGTTTTCGTCACTTTTTTGAAACAATATCATACAAATGATTTGCGTTCGGAATGTCGAACAAATTATCTCAGATTAGGCCGGGGTTATCCAATTCCTTAATTCTTAATTTTTGTTCTTAATGCTTAATCTTTAAAAACCCCAATGTTAAATAAATTTAACTTTTCAAGAATTAAGAATTAAGGACAAATATTAAGAATTAAGGAATTGGGTAACTCCGGCCTTTAGAAGTAATCTGCGATCAGATGATAGTAAACTATCAAGGGTTGTTGTTTCCAAAAAATGATGTCACTTTATCTAGCAAGCAGTTTATTATCGAATTTCTTAATGAACTTTAAGCCAATATGTAACTATAGTGTTTAGAATGTAAATTTTTCCAGTACTTGGCAAATGTGTTTTTCCCATGCACTTTTCAACTTCTTTATGACTTTTAAATGTTTGTCCTACATTAAAAACTATTTTAAAAGTAATTTCACGTTGAAAAACTCACGAAAACATTCCACTTTACGTTCACATATCAACAAACCAGCTTAAAAACATAAAAAGTTAAGTTAAGTTGGACTTTGATAAAACAGAAACCGCCAACGCCAACAACTACATTTTTTACCGGGATTTGGTTAAATCCCGGGTACCAAGTACGTCATATGGGTGACGTCATCAAAACTACCGGTAAAAAATGTGTTACCGGTACCGGGATTTTAGACACCTAAAAAATATTATTTAATTTTGAATAACATAATTAGCAAAGAGGAAGATGAAAACGAGACCTAAAAAAGAGTTGTTTTAGAATGTTAATTAATGGAGTAAAAGTAAAACCAAGTATGTATGCATAAAACAAAACCCCGCGGAGCCATAACATGTGGTAGTGCAAACAGCCTATGTCAAGGCGAGAAAGGATATGCTGCTACGTCAGAACTGGTGATTTAGCAGGGTGGCGGGCTTCTGATTTGTTCCACATAGGCCTTATGAAGATAGGCTATTCTGTAGTAGTAGTATGTATTATCCTTGGTTGCAAACGGCCATAATAAATATATTGAATTTCATGAAAATTCAAGAGCCGAGAATTGATGAAAACTGATACAAAAAGATTAAGAAATGTAAGGAAAACTTTCTTGAATGTGCTCTATTTAAAAAAATTGAAAAAAAAAAAACGAAAATTCAAAAACCCCAAATTGATCAGGTAAGAAGAAACTAGTAGGTATACGCCAAAATTTAAAAACCTCTAAAGTACAGAAGCACCCCTTTACAACTTAATTTTGAATATTATATACAGAGCAGTGCAAACAGAACAGAGTAAGTGCAGATGGAACAGAAATTAAAGCAATTGGAACACTTAAAGTAACTCGAACAATAGAAGGAATTCAGCATAGAATTTATGCAAATGGAATGTTTAGAATAATTTAAATCGAATTTGTGCAAATGAAAGAGAATTAGAACAGTAAAAGTAGTTTAAAACCGTTGGAAGATTAAAATGAGTCATTGTATTTGGAAAGGTCAGAGTAGAATTACTAATAACCCGAAATTAATTTTCAAATTAGTCTACTGTTATAGTGAATAAATTCATTATTTAGTAGCATATTAGAGTAGCTCGAACAGTAACAATCAGAGCAATGCAAACAGAACAGAGTTAGTGCAATTGAAATAGAAATTAAAGCAATTGGAACACTAAGGCTGAATTCGGCTTTGCATTCCATGAAGCGAAACAGTATAAGCATGGATATCGTAACGTCATACGCGGTCATAAGCCCAACGCAAAAGAGAGCTAAAACGAACAGGATCTTATTGTTTCGAGCGTGCTCAGAGTTTACAGGAGATAGTGAATAACTTTATTATTGTTTAGTAGCATATTAGAGTAATTTGAACAGTAACAATCAGAGCCGTGCAAATAGAACAGAATTAATGCAATATAACTCGAAAAATAGAAGGAATTCAAATAAAGACAATGCAGATGGAATACTTGAGTAATTTGAATCGAGCTAGTGCAAAATGAACAAAATTAAAACAGTCAAAATAGTTCGGACACTTGAACATTTGGAGTAGAATTACTAAAAAACCAATATTAATTTTCAAATCACCCTATTTTTATAGTAAATAAATTCTTAGTAGCATATTAGAGTAGTTCGAACAGTAACAATCGGAGCAGTGCAAACAGAACAGAGTTAGTACAGATGAAACAAAAATTAAAGCAACTGGAACACTTAGAGTAACTCGAACAATAGAAGGAATTCGAAGAGAATTAATGCAGATAGAATACTTAAGCCTAGTACTCATAACCGCGAAATTCGCTCTTTTTTGACATTACTTCGACAATTTGACGTCTGATTCATGAATGAAACGTCAAATTATGGAAGCAATAATTGTATTCCTTTCACACCTAGGAGGAGCTCCGGAACAGCTCCGGGGCTTCACGCACTTATTCCTTTCGAAAAGTGTTTGTTGCACCACGCATATGTTCCCTGCAAATCGGGGGCGACTAAGCACCGAAGCGAGTAGCTCGAGTGTTTCAAGCTCTTGAAAGGAATACAACCAATGTCAAAAAACCGCGAATTTCGCTGTTATGAGTAAAATCTGTTTTTTTTTTTAAAGATAAAAGCCAAAATGACATTATGTTGGCAATACAATGTAAAATTGTCAATGCTTTCAATTTTTTCATGTAGAAAAGGCTTGTGTTGCCAACATGGTTACTTAATTTTTGACTTGGGGAATTATCTTTAAAAAAAACAGACTTTACTAGACTTTAGAGTAATTTAATTCAAAATAATGCAAATAGTTGTATTCCTTTCACACCTAGGAAGAGCTCCGAAATAGCTCCGGGGCTTTACACGCTTATTCCTTTCGAAAAGTGTTTGTTGCACCTGAAGCACCCAAGCCTGAATTAAACCATTTGAATGCACGAACGCCAGCGCTTATGTTCCTTTCAAATCGGGGTCGACTAACACCGGAACGAGTAGCTCTAGTGTTTTAAACTCTTGAAAAGAATACAACTATTAAAACAAAATTTCAGAAAAGTCAAAGTAGTTCGCAGCAGTTAAACAGATTAAAAAGAAGTCAATGCTCCTGGAACAGTCAGAGTAGAATTACTAAAAACCCAAAATTTTCTTTAGAGTAGTTTGAACAGTATCAATCGGAGCAGTGCAAACAGAATAGAATTAGTGCAGATAAAACAGAAATGAAAGCAATTGGAACACTTAGAGTAGCTCGAACAATAGAAGGAATTCAAATAAAAGTGAAGCCTAGTACTCATAACAGCGAAATTCGCTCTTTTTTGACATTGCTTCGAAAATTTGACGTTTTATGCATGAGTCAAACGTCAAATTGTCGAAGCAATGTCAAAAAAAAATGAATTTCGCTGTTATGAGTACTAGGCATAATGCAGATGGAATACTTAGAGTAATTTAAATCGAGTTAGTGCAAATGGAACATAACTAGTTAGTTCAGACAGTTAAACAGGGGGGACTTTATTTGAAATTGATGCAACTTTGCGTACATGCAAATATGACGCAGATGACGTCAGTTGTGATTTAAAAAGTACATATCAAATAAGACGTGCACCAATTTTCAATCACGAATGACGTCATTTGCGTGTACGCAAAGTTGCATCAATTTCAAATCCCCCAAGATCAAAAAGAGTCAATGCACTTGGAACAGTCAGAGTAGAAATACTTAAAAACCCAAAATTAATTTCCAAATCATCTTATTAAAATTACAATTGGTTATTTACGCGCCACAATTTAAAAAACTCCAAGTACAGAAGCGTTCTCTACAACTCAACTTTGAACATGCCATTAGAGCATTTCGAACAGATAGGGCAGTTCGAAAAGTTCAACTGTTTCTACTTTAATCCAGGCAGTTCCATCGTATCGATATGGCTATAAATATCCTAAAAACCCATTCATGTTAAATTTTAATGTTTCTGCTCCGAACACTCTTGTATTGCTCATTCTGAAAACAAAAACTACTGAAACCACTGGAGTGGAGTAATAATTCATGTGTTCGAGCAGCAAAACGTCCAAAACGAAAACCCCTATCCTATAAATATAACCTCACTTAACAAAAGAGTCAAATTTCAAAAATTTGTTTTGTATCATGATAAAATGTGAAGAAAAATCTGAAATAATGTGATAAAATAACTGTTTTTGTGTTAATAATTCCAGTTTTTCCTATTTTGGGTTCCTTTATGTCTGTATTTTGAGTTGAAGTTTTTGTTCCAATTTCGTATTACCTTATATAGACATTTTTGTGCCTTTTAAAAGAAAAATACCTTCACACACACACTGCCACAATTTACAATGGAAAATCCAACGAAAAACTATTCCTGGGCCAAACCATTTCCCGAAATACAAAAGGCCTGCACCCTATTCAATCGAACTGAACTTCTACAAATTGCCAGATATGTCTACATCCCATTAACAGGCTATCTACAACAAGGCCCTCAATGCGGTTTAGTGGCCCTTGCAATACTGATGGGCAGCGCCAACAAAGAAACCGTCGACCGTATTTTCCAGTGGGCCAAGAAAATGGAATTCAGTGCTTATGGAGAGATGTTTAGTGCTATTTGGATGGCCAAGTTGGCTGAAAAGTTTATGCCAGATGCCAGAGTCGAAGTGCATTCAGGAGAATTGGACTGTGATAAGATAAAGGAGTTTTTGTTCAGTGGTGGGATGATGTTGGTACCGTATCCTTTTTTGCATATTAACTACACTATTTTGTTTTTTTCCATATTTCCAAACTCTTTCCAAAATTTTTGTATTTCAGACCAGTTTTGTTTATTTCTTTCTGAGGTGAATCATACTTCAAATTATTACATTTTAAACAATTTTTGGTGAGGATAATCAACCGTAATCAGTTGATTATGCTGGGTTATGTGATGTATCATCATTCATCAATTGTGTCATACTCCCAACTGTCCCAACTAGTCCAACTACTCCCTCTCTATCAAATTTTGAGCCTACGAGTGATGTGACTATCTCTATCAGCCAGTGGCGTATCAACCCAGCTCCGGGCCTGTGTGCCAACATTTTTGCGGGCTCATCACGAGCTCCCCCCGCCAAACTAACCCAAATTTCGACCCAAAAGTCATTCAAAAAACACTCCTAAATTTTTTTATTAGGTATTTTTATTTAAACATTGAATTTTGAATTCGCCATTTTCAAAAGTGGTATGAATAATTATATCCTGTTCACAATCCGATGTCCACAGGTGCAGGTAAATTTATCACCATAGGCGCAACTAGGAGAATGCTTGGGGGTGCTAAGCACCCTTAAAGCAAAAATTAGCACTCCTATTCGGCATCCCACCATAGCACTACCTAACACTTATATAAAAAATTAATGCAACCAAATTATTTTATGTATTTTTTTGCACTTTTTGTACTTACTTACATCATCGATGACGTCATAATTAAAAAAAAGTATTTGTCGTTGATTAATTCATAGAGCAAGTTCGCAATTATTATTGTTAAAATCAAGACTTACCTTAAAATATACGGTTTTTATCTTATATTAACATTTAGGATGACGTCATCGAACAAGGTCAGACAATGTTTTCAATGTCTATGTTTATTCTATATCTTAAGGTGACATTGGAATACCGGCTCTTAAAAAATCATTGGAGTCCCAAATATATAAATCAATTAACTGCGTATTATACAGGGTTTTCTTAAATATCATGTACAAACGACAAAGGGTGATTCTTTTTTTTTTACGACTGAAATTTCAAATATGTTCTAAAAAATTGACTTATTTAAGCAATTAAAAAAAAATTCACCCTCTTACATTTTAATTTTTTTCTAGAAAACTTGCAAAGACAAAATTTTGAAAATTTTCCAGGAATAAGAGGATAAGAGGAAAATGAGGAGCTCATTTTACGAAAATTTCAAAATTTTCCAGTAAAAAAATTACTCCAAGAAAAAAACCTGAAAAATTGACTTTTTCAAGTAAAATAAGGGAAAATTCACCTCTTACATTTTAATTTTTTTCTAGAAAACTTGCAAAGAGAAAATTTTGAAAATTTTCCAGGAATAAGAGGAAAATGAGCTCATTGTGGCATGGTGTGGATCACAATCATGGCGGGGGGCAATAATCATAAAGAGGGTAAACCACCCCCTGATAAAAATAATATTAAAGTAGTCGATCTCACATACAATGATATGATGATAAATGAAGATGAGTCCATAGAAAATAATATTAATTCTCAAACTCAACATGATAAACAGATTTCAGATAGATTAAATAGAATTGATTTGAAAAATAGATATAAAACAAATAGTAACGGTCCATTTTCAGTTTTTGTGGAGCATAAATATTTAAATTTTGGTAGATTGCATCCTCTCAAAATTGGTGAAAAATTATTCAATCTGAATGGCGATGAAAATAATATTGATTTCTTGCACACAGTTGGTCGAAATAGGGTCCAGATTATGTGTAAATCCGCTATAAGTGCCAACAAAATAGTTGAAAATCAGGTATTTGAAAGTAACAATCTTATTGCATACATATATTCCATCTCATCTTACTCAAAAAAAAGGCCTTATCCGTAATGTTGATACATCTTTCTCAGAGAAAGAAATTTTGAAAATTTTGAAGTCGTCAGTTCCAATTAAGGCAGTGCAGAGGAGATTTAAATTTGTTCTCGATAAGGATGGCAATAAAGTAAAAGTTCCTAGACAGCAGATTATTGTAACTTTCGATAATTTAGTCCTGCCACAATTTGTTTATGTGTACCGATTGAGATACGAAGTTGATACTTGGTACTCCCCGGTCACTCAATGTTATAATTGTTTAAATTTTGGTCACACTGCTTCCCAGTGTAAAAGCAAAAAACGATGCAAAACCTGTTCTAAAATATTAAATGACGAGGGACTGTGTACTGATTGTGAAATTTTTTGTGTTCATTGTAAAGATAATTCTCATATTTCTACTAGTAAAAAATGTCCTAAATATAACAATCAGGTTAAAATTAAGCAGGCGATGGCAAATCTTAATGTATCCTTTAAAGAAGCCGAAAAAATTGTAGATAACCCTTCTTATGCAAGCATTGTTTCGAAAAATAAATTTACTCCATTGTCTTCAAAAACCGATTTTCCTGAATTACCACCGAACTATAGAAATCAATCTAATCCCCCAAATTCAAAAACGACATTTGTAGCTCATCCACATTCCAGCAAGTCTATTCCCTCTTCCAGTGTATATGAAAATTATAAAAAACGGAAAGTCAGTGATAGAAGTCCTTCCTTTGAACCCGTTAGCAGAGAATTTGATTGGTCCTATACAGGTGCACCTTGGATTGAGTCTCATCAGATGAACACTAAAAATACTTTTGAAGGTCTAAAGGATAAAATAATTGAAGATTTAACTTGTCAAATAAATAATTCAATCAGGGGTGAGAAATCTCCTGATGTATCAAATATAATAGAAAATATAGGCTATATAATCAATAATACCCTCAAAAATTTTTTTCAACAATGGCAGCCTTCACACAACAACTAACTAATTCACTGGAATGCTAGATCTGCGTATTCAAACCATAATCTGTTAAAAAACTTATTACAAGATACTAATTTTGATATTGCCCTTTTAAGTGAAACTTGGTATAAACCAGAGTACAAAATTAGTCTTAAAGGTTTTAATATTATAAGAAAAGATAGAATTAATGGTAAAGGCGGTGTGGCTATACTAATTAAAAAATTAATTTCCTTTTCTAATATCAAATTCCCAAAGTTCGATAATATCAATATTGAACTATGTGGTATAGACATATCTATCCATAATACGTTAATATCTGTTGTGTCTATTTATAGACCACCAAATGTGGCAATAAGTGTTTCGGACTACTGTAAAAATTTTTCTTCTGTAAAGTCCTTTTCTATAATTGGGGGTGATTTCAACGCCCACAATACTTTATGGGGTTGTAATATTAATGATGCACCGGGGAACACAACGATTCCTTTCTATGTATCTCCAACAGCCACACATCAAGCTATTGGCCATTGTCGATTAATAATTTTTTCAGTTTCGATTTAAATATATTAAGCGTTGAGCTGCTTTTTACATCATTTGGTAGTTTGTTATAATTAATTAGGCCATTATGGAATAATGCCCTTTCAGTGCTCTTTTTATTCTTGGTTGCTACATGCAAATCATTCTGAGATCTTGTATTGTGATCGTGAACGTTACGGTTGTACAGCAGTTTCGATGACAAGTACATTGGCATTACAGAACTCTTTATTCTATAAATGAATGTCATGGCTTGATAATTTAAAAAAATCTCGATGGATAACCAGTTTAGAGACAGTAGCATAGATCTAACCGCTGTGTCCTTGGGACAATGAAGTATTACTCGCATCGCTTTGTTTTGTAACTTTTGCAGCCTATCTTTTCCGTTTTTGTTCATCATGTACAGCACCGATGATGCGTATGTAAGATGTGGTAGAATAATGGTATTATACACCATGATGCGAGTCCACTTTGATAGAAAAGGTGCTACTCTAGTCAGGACACCCGTGTTTTTTGCTATTTTGTTAGTAATATAATTAATGTGTTCCTTAAATTGAAGCCTTCTGTCAATTATAACACCCAAATACTTGATCTCTTCAACCATCTCAATATCTTCACTTCCAATGGCAATTTTAAATGGAGTTGCCATATTATATTGCTGATTATTAGCAATAAGCATAAACTTTGTTTTTGATGCGTTTAATTTTAGTAAATTTCCATTACACCACGATAATACATTCTCCAAGTCTCCATTAATAGCATCAGTCACCAATTTCAAATCTCTAGAACAGAAGTAAATTAAAGTGTCATCTGCAAATAGATGGATCTGGCAGCTTGTTATACACTTAACAATATCATTAATATATATAAGAAACAGTAATGGCCCCAATTTACTGCCCTGTGGTACGCCATTATCGTTTAAAATTTCTGGAGAAGTGATCTTGTTTATGTATGTGTTCTGTTTCCTATTCTGCAAATAGTTCTGAAACCACTTTAGAGCTACACCTTCTATACCATATTTTTGCAATTTTTGCACCAAGCTACACCTGTTGATAGTCTCAAATGCCCTTTTAAAATCAAGAAAAACCGCCCCAATCATAACATCATTATCCAGTTGGTTCTTCCAATTATATAAAATATTTTGTATGGCTGTTTCGCAACTATGATTTTGTCTGAAACCCGATTGGTTTGCATACAATATTTTCTTTTCTGAAATATATTCGATAAATTGATCATAAATAACTTTCTCAATAATTTTTTCAAAAGTCGCTAGCATATTTATTGGTCTCAGCTCACTAGCAGTTTTCACATCGCGGACTTTAGGTATCGGAATAACCGTTGAAATTTTTAAGGGTGATGGAATAGTGCCTGTTTCCAGTGAATAGTTGATTAAATTTAGCAGAGGGAATTCAATACTTGCGTATATCATTTTTATGAAGTCCGCTGATAGCTCGTCAGGACTACCTTTACATGGCAATTGAAAAACAATTTCCTTCAGTTGATCTGTAGTTATTGGCATAAACCGTGCTAAACCTCCTGGCGGTGTTTGTATTTGGTCAATACATTGAATTCCTCCATTTACGTCGATTTCAGACACAATCCCATGAATGCTATTAATATAATAGTCATTGAGATTATTACACAATAATTGGGGTTCGCTTATTATCTCATTGTTAATTTCAAGCTCTTTGATATTATGGTCTTTTTTGTTTTTAGATAATAGCGGTTTTAATGTTTCCTACATTTTTTTTGAATTATTTTTACAATTATCGATTTTATTTTCAAAGTGACTCTTTTTCTCTTCACGTATTACTTGTACAGCCCTATTCCTGTTTTTTCTATAAGTAGCTTTATTTTCGTTGTTTTTATTTTTTTTGTAATGTTTGTAACTTTCATCTCTACATCGGACAGCATCGTACACTCTTTCATTCCACCATTCTTTATATCTGGATTTTATAACTATTTCCCTCTTTGGGGAAACTTCATTCAATATTCGCACTATCGTTGAAAAAATCTGACTATACTTGTCATCTATATCCCAGAGCATATAATTCCACCTCTCCAGAGACAATCTTCTATTAATTTCATCGAAATCTAGCTTACCCCGAGAATCAACGCTCTTACTACATTCCTCACTGAAGGCCTTTTTATTATTTAAACTAAACTTTATTATATAATGATCAGATATTTTTGGGGTATCAGCTACCTGACTGCTGACATTGTAGCTATTACAAAATCCCAGGTCAATAATACTTCCCCCTGCATCACTTGGGTGAGTGATTTGATTCACCAACTGATTAAACCCCAAATCCATCATACATATTTCTAACTGTCTCTTATAGGTATCCGCCCGCAACCAGTTAATATTGAAATCCCCAAGAATTAGTGTAGGGTACTTAAAGTCTGCATTCTCCAAGCACCAGTTTTCAAAGTTCTTTAAGAATTCTGCTGTACTTGCACTTGGTGAACGGTATATTCCGATAATAATGCATTAGACAATTTTCCCAATTTATTAATAAGGAATGAAGGGGAGCATACCAGAATAGGAGCCACAAGTAGTTCCGCTTTAGACATAACTATTATTTCCTCAAACATCAGTAATATCTCGTCTTGGGAAGTTTTACAAGATTCCTATGGTTCAGATCATTTTCCTGTTAAATTGACATTGAATAATAAAAGTAATCTTGCGCCGTCACATAATTTAGTTGGGTGGAAACTCAAAAATGCCAACTGGGTTTCCTTTGGTCAATGCATAGAGGACAAAATTAGTAACCTTAGGGAAGTACCGGACAAGGCAAATGAAATTATTTCAATATTAATCAATGTTATTGGTGAAACTGCCGACCAACTTTTTCCTAAAAGAGTTTTTCAAAATAAAAAACCCTTTGTACCATGGTGGGACGAGGAATGCCAAATTTTATCCAACAGTCGGAAGGAAATGTTTAAAAAATTTCGTAATAATTCCAATCTCCAAAACTACATTCAGTGTAATAATTTAACAGCTAAGTGTAAGCTTACCTATAAAAGAAAATCCAAACAAAGTTGGGCTAATTTTTGTAGTAGTTTGAACGTCCAGAGCCCTCCTTCCAAAATTTGGAATAGAGTTAATTTGATAAAGGGTGGTTTAAATACACATATAAACAACACAATTTCCCAGGAATCAGCCAATATTTTGTTGAATAAAATAGCACCTGATTTTGTGTCACGCGATATTCCACCAATGAATGCGTCAAGCGATCATTTTTTATCACGACCTATTTCTATATCAGAATTCATCAATAACGTCAGAAAACATAAAGACACTAGCCCAGGTACGGACGGAATCACTTATAGTATGTTAGAGCATTTACCCCTCCCTGCTATGCAGTTGTTAATAGACGCATTCAATAAAATTATGTGTAGAGGTGATGATATTTCGAAAATCAAAAATGCACTGGTGGTACCAATATGCAAACCAGGTAAAACTGACGAGTTTAGGCCAATTTCGCTCACATCATGTATGTTAAAAACTCTGGAAAGAATAATCAAATATCGTTTAGAGTGGTGGTGCGAATCTAAAAAATTACTTCCTTCCCATCAGTTCGGATTTAGGCGAGGTAGCGGCGTAAATGATTGTCTGGCACATTTAGTTACTGATGTACAGAACACATTTTCTGATAATGATTATTTGGCGGCTATATTTTTGGATATATCCAGTGCATATGAAAATGTCAATCTTGAAATCCTTATAGATAAACTAGTACAATTTGATGTGCCTAGAGCAAATGCTAATAATATAGTGAGATTATATATCAATCGAGGCGTATCCATTAGAATAGGTAATGATACTAGCGAAACCAGAATTGTCTCATCTGGCATCCCCCAAGGTTCAGTATTAAGCCCATTACTTTTAAATATGTACACAACGGATTTTCATTCAATGGGGTTAAATGCTTCTCAGTTACAATACGCTGATGATTTTTGTATCTATACCAAGCAAAAAAGCATGCATGCATGCTTAACCAACCTAAAACATATTATGGATGTTTGCAATCAATATTTTCCCAGCAATGGCTTCAATATTTCAAATAAAAAATCAGCAATGATGGTTTTTACTAGGCATCGTTTACAGAAAACATCAACAATTACACTTAACAACTGTGATATCCCATGGGTTGAAACATTTAAGTATTTGGGAGTTTTGTTGGATCAAAAATTGGCTTGGAAAGAACATATTACCTACATAACTGAGAAGGCCGAAAAAAGTCTTAATATTATGAGAGCAGTAATATCTAGGTCATGGGGATCCGATCCCCAAGTTTGCTTAATGTTATATAAAGCGTTTACAAGATCAATTTTGGATATTGGCGCTATGTTTTATGGTTCTGCTTGCAAATCCCGACTTGT